ATGCGATCGTGCGTGAGATCTGTTATTGATTATGCACCACCTGTCTTTTTTAACGGTCTCCCCCAGTACTTAAAGAAAGAGCTGGTACGGCTCGAGAAAAGAGCGATATCAATAATAACCTCAGGAAAGTGCAACTCGGCATCAGAGGTGGGGTTAAGACCCATTTTGGAGCATTATTATGTACTATGTAGCAGGCTTTTTGATAACATTGTCTGTGATCGAAACCACAAATTGAAGGCGCTCCTTCCACCAGACCATGTCAACTCACGCTATACAACCTAAGACAGCGCCTTTCTAGTATGCCAAAGCTTTGCACGAACAGAACGTTTATATATGCGTTGTCGAAACAGTCCGGGCTGTAGTATTATCCCACTTATATTCATGCTTTATATTTTTAAATATTTATATGAATACGTTGTATAGAATTTTCTAATATTATCGTAAAAAATCACTTTTCGATTTATTAAGTAGGATTCATTTGTAATTTTCAAGTATTGTAAATTTTTTGTAAATAATTGCGTAATTCAGCCTTTGGCTGCGATGCAGTTTTAATAAACTATCTACCTATCTATCTATCTATCTATCTATCTATCTATCTATCCTTTCAATAGCGTAACTTTTTTCACCCTTCTCCCCCTCCGCTCCGTTTAGATTTACTGAGCCGGAGGGCTGATGTTTGAAAGTTGCAAGGTTATAAGAATAAACTGTGTGGCGCAGAAGGGTTGCAATCGAGCGTTTTTTTTTTTCTTTTTCCACTTTAACGTACATTTATTTACACGTTTACTGCAACAACTGGTTGCCTATAGCTATCTGAGCAACTGCGCACCTACCCATCTCTTAACCCAGCATCAGCCTTACAGCTCTGACATTGATCCTAGTCCCCAATCCACACCAAATGCAATACGCAAACGAACCAATATAGGTTATAACCTTTAGAGAGCTAGTGTCCGTTCTTATAGGAAAGCAGATTTTACTTTTCGTCAATCCTGATACGGATTTTCTTATCATGACAACACGTGAAAACCAAA